TCTGCTACCAACAACCTTGCCACCATCAACAACCGAACAACCAACAACCTTGGAGGAAACCACTCTGCCACCACAACCTTACCACCATCAACAACCCAACAACAACAACCTTAAGAAACCACTCTTCATCAACAACCGAACAACCAACAACCTTGGAGGAAACCACTCTGCCACAAACAACCTTGCCACCATCAACAACCCAACAACCAACAACCTTGGAGGAACAAGAAACCACTCTGCCACCAACAACATTGCCACCATTAACAACCGAACAACCAACAACCTTGGAGGAAACCACTCTGCCACCAACAACCTTGCCACCATCAACAACTGAACCAACAACCTTCGAAGAAACCACTCTGCCACCAACAACATTGCCACCATTAACAAACGAACAACCAACAACCTTGGAGGAAACCACTCTGCCACCAACAACCTTGCCACCATCAACAACTTTGGAGGAAACCACTCTGCCACCAACAACCGAACAACCAACAACCTTGGATCAGAAAACCACTCTTCCACCAACAACCTTGCCACCACCAACAACCGAACAACCAACAACCTTGGAGGAAACCACTCTGCCACCAACAACAACCAAACAACCAACAACCTTGGAGGAAACCACTCTGCCACCAACAACCTTTCCACCATCAACAACTGAACCAACAACTTTGGAGGAAACCACTCTGCCACCAACAACCGAACAACCAACAACCTTGGATCAGAAAACCACTCTTCCACCAACAACCTTGCCACCATCAACAACCGAACAACCAACAACATTGGAGGATCAGGAGACCACTCTGCCACCAACAACCTTGCCACCATTAACAACCCAACAACCAACAACATTGGAGGAACAGGAAACCACTCTGCCACCAGCAACAACCCAACAACCAACAACCTTGGAGGAGCAGAAAACCACTCTGCCACCAACAACCTTACCACCATCAACAACCCAACAACCAACAACATTGGAGGAACAGGAAACCACTCTTCCACCAACAACCGAACAACCAACAACCTTGGAGGATCAGGAAACCACTCTGCCACCAACAACTTTACCACCATCAACAACTGAACAACCAACAACCTTGGAGGATCAGGAAACCACTCTGCACAACAACCTTGCCACCATCAACCAAACAACCAACAACCTTGGAGGATCAGGAAACCACTCTGCCACCAACAACCTTACCACCATCAACAACCCAACAACCAACAACATTTGAGGAACAGGAAACTACTCTGCCACCAACTTTACCACCAACAGCCGAGCAACCAACAACCTTGGAGGAACAGGAAACCACTCTGCCACCAACAACCTTGCCACCATCAACAACCGAACAACCAACAACCTTGGAGGAAACCACTCTGCCACCAACAACCTTGCCACCATCAACAACCGAACCAACAACCTTGGAGGATCAGGAAACCACTCTGCCACCAACAACCTTGCCACCATCAACAACCAAACAACCAACAACCTTGGAGGAACAGGAAACCACTCTGCCAACATCAACAACCCAACAACCAACAACCTTGGAGGATCAGGAAACCACTCTGCCACCAACAACCTTACCACCATCAACAACCCAACAACCAACAACCTTGGAGGATCAGGAAACCACTCTTCCACCAACAACCTTACCACCATCAACAACCCAACAACCAACAATCTTGGAGGAAACCACTCTGCCACCAACAACCTTGCCACCATCAACAACCAAACAACCAACAACCTTGATGGAACAGGAAACCACTCTGCCACCAACAACCTTGCCACCATCAACAACCCAACAACCAACAACCTTGGAGGAACAGGAAACCACTCTGCCACCAACAACCTTGCCACCATCAACAAACCAACAACCAACAACCTTGGAGGAAACCACTCTGCCACCAACAACCTTGCCACCATCAACAACCCAACAACCAACAACCTTGGAGGAGCAGGAAACCACTCTGCCACCAACAACCTTGCCACCATCAACAACCCAACAACCAACAACCTTGATGGAACAGGAAACCACTCTGCCACCAACAACCTTGCCACCATCAACCCAACAACCAACAACCTTGGAGGATCAGGAAACCACTCTGTCACCAACAACCTTGCCACCATCAACAACCGAACAACCAACAACCGAGGACAGGAAACCACTCGCCACCATAACCTTGCACCATGACCAACAGGAAAACCACTCTGCCACACTCTTCAACCTCAAAGCAACCAACAACCTTGGAGGATCAGGAAACCACTCTGCACCAACAACTTGCCACATCAACCAACAACAAACCAACAACCAACAACCTTGGACGCAACAAACCTTGGAGGAGCAGAAAACCACTCTGCCACCAACAACCTTGCCGCCAACAACCACCAAACCAAACAACACACAACAACCTTGGAGGAAACCACTCTTCCACCAACAACCTTTCAACAACCAACAACCACAACCTTGGAGGATCAGGAAACCACTCTGCCACCAACAAC